AGTAGTTTTGATTGAAATTTTAAAACTATTTTTGCAATTGCAGTGTGCCATATTATTTCCAGCGGTGTGATCATATAATTCACAGAAACTATTTGCTGGTTTTCAGTATAATTTTATATCATATTATGATATTGATTTAGATGCAGATTATTTTGTAAAGTACATATCGAACTAAAGCTGGTAAAATGAAAGAGCTGCATCATTTAATTCCATGTTAAAACAGCAAATTGTATGGTCTCGTTACGCGAAAACTAGATGGTAAAATCGATTCAAACTCTGCCAGAATATAGAAGAACCTCTCATCTTTCGATTAATACAATAAAAAGCCATGTTAAACGTAACAATTATCTTGCTCTAACCGTCTTAAATCGGTTCATACAGATGCACAAAATGACAAAAATTGATTTGACGTTACATACATTTTAGAATCGAATAAGATAGTTCAAACAATGTTAAAAAGTTGCAACTTCGAAAATCATACACAGGCACTTAGGGTTTATTTATCTGTATTGATTGTATTTTTGTGTAGAAGTGCTTCAAACGATTTTCAATCAAGTTTCCCAATACTTTTCAGTAAAAATACATTTATGACAGATAAATAAAAAATTAAAATCCCTTCGCATGGCTCGAATCTGCGACCTTTGGCACCAACGCACGAAATCAGTACTATACGCGCAAGTTTTCTTGATATTCCACAGCGGGGGTGCGGGAAGAGGAGTGCTCTGGCTACAGGACGGCTTAAAAGGGCGTACCAACTGTGGGCATGATCTTAACTCGCCAAAGCGTGCCACGAGAAATACTACGATTGTTTTAAAAATACGAGGGGGTTATTGACAGCATTGTAAATTGGTAAGTGCCGTTTCGAGTCAAACTTAACGTGCCGTGCTACTTAACGTAGCCGGCAACGTGCCGTGCTATTCAGCGGTGGGTGAGAACTACGGAGCTCATGCATAAAGAAAACTTGCGCAAGTAATGCACATCGTTATATTTCGCCAAAATTACAAGGAAACTACTCATATTTTCGACAAATTGAACTTGAACTTATTTAAAGATCCGTCTTTAAATGAAATATTTTATCAACCAAAAATATATTTATCTTTTAGTTGTAGGAAGACGCCAAAAAATTGCGCTTTTAGAATTTTCAAAAAAATGTGTTTTTTCAAAGAAGATGAGACCACCACTATTCTCTTAAGCGTTCTTTATACTATCCGAAGACAAATTTTGGTAAAAAAAATGTGGTAGAGTGTTTGAGAAAATTTTGAAAATGTTTTTAGGCTTCATGTGAAGTACTCTCAAAAATCAAAATAACCGTTTGAAACTAATGTGATGGGTTCTCACAATGATAATTAAATGGGAATAATAATAAAATTACGTAATTTGTAAAGAGAGTAAATTTACAGTGTTTTAAAGTAGTAAATTACAATTAGAAAGAAAATGTAATTACGTGCGTGGAGGACGCGAACATTTTGTATTACAGCAATTTTTCTAAAAAGGAGGAATTTGTAGCGAGTATTTGATAAGGAGAATAAAAGGATTCATGTATTTGTATGACTATATATATATATATATATATATATATATATATATATATATATATATATATATATGTCACAGATGTTTGTTTTCTGAGATTGGGAACTCTCTTTGTTTTTCTACTCATAAATAATAAATCAGTTTACGTAAATATGACGTCAATATTGCTCTATCGAGTATCTGTTTAAAAGGCCTATCACACCCATTCATATATACATTTTTATCATGACGGAGAGATCTTGGGATAACCTTCGGGGAACACGGGTGAAATGTGAAATTTGAAACAGTAAATTCAGGAGAATAATTAAACGAAAGGTATCAGGAACGGTCCCCTGACTAACAAAGACTTGAGTTTATTAATATCGATTGTGGAATATCAATTTTGAAGAAAATCGACTAAACGGTTTAGGCTCTAGCGTTGACTAGTTAGACAGACGTTTTGCCGTCAATCGATTTTTCGGTATCAAGGATCCACAAAACATGGATTCTGGCTACACCACGTATTAGAGTTTCCCCACCCCTCATGTTAGTAACAGGAGATGTCAACTTTTTTGTTACGAGGGCCCGACAATAAGAGTTTTTCTACGAAAAATTGGCCGTTTTCTGGCGCATAATTGCATAACTTTCTCTTATTACGAAGAACTTCGCAAGGCAAGAAAGTAAAAAAAGTACGAAAAATTAAAAAACCGTAGGGATAAATTTACAACCAGATTGATAGTCTTTCTAGATATTAACAGAAAATACACTAAGCGCTCACCTGAGTGAATTCACAAAAAAATTGCAAATTTCTGTAGCAGTCTGGCGACACGAATCAGGCGAAGCGCAGTACGCCCATAAACGGCACCCCGCGAATGTGAGGAAAACAGGTGTACGTCTAGAGACGGCACCCCGCGAACTGAAGAGATAACACGCCGCAGGGGCAAGTGAAAGTGTCGCACGTCCTGAGGTGGAATACTTCAGGCTGGTCTCCACTCACGTTTACAGGCTCGTTTACCTATGGAGTTGGAAAATATTTAATCTGAAATTCATATTTCTAAGAGATGAACTGGTGCGTGAAGACTTTCGGTAATCCGTTTATTTTGAGGCTTCACAAAACAATGATCAAACTAATTTCAACTTCAAACTAATTAAAAACTTTAATTTGCGAATTAATCTTATTTCAGCCTCATGTGTTGTTTTATTTTATCAGAAATATTAATGTAAACATTTAGGGCCTGCCTGGCTAGCCGCTGTCGATAAGGCTGAAGGGTCGTAGCTGCCTCGGCTCGAACTGTCGCGGGTTCGAATCGCGTCTCGGGCATGGATGTGTGCGTGTGCGTGTGCCTGAGAGTGGGTTCGTGTCGTGCTTACGCGTCCTTCCTATAGTTCCCCCTACAGTTAAAGCCACCACAGTGGCCAACCACAAATACTGTGTGTTGTACTATGGGAAGAAGTACAATATATGTGCTCTATGACTAAGTTGTTAAAAAACGACCTCCCGAATAAAAAAACATTTAAAAAAACATTTAGGACTTAACGGGAATACGTGTACTGCTCATGTTGAATTGACATTTTGATGTTCTTTTTACACCAAACTGAATACTGATGGAAAACTGGATTATACACACTTTAGCAGGATGAATCAGATTCAATATTTTATAAAAAATTCTCATATCAATACATACAAATAAGTATAACGTTTTATTTATGGTCAAAAAAAGGTAAAAACTGTGTGTTGTACTATGAGAAGAAGTACAATATGTGTGTGGTGTTTTGACATCTGGGATGTCTGTCCTAACACATGAAATTTATTAAAATGAATAATGAATATATCTTGCAAAACGCATTTTGCATGAATTGGAATGAAAATAGTCGCTCCCGAATTATAAAAAATATTTGCAAAGGCAAATCAGCTACAAATTTAGACTAGTGCTTTACGTGAAGGAATAGACTTACTACCACGATAAAATGAAAAAACGAGTATTCTATAATCTACATTCCCCAAACACGTTCAAGATACAGTAGTATCAAGTATATGTTCAAGTACATACGTGTAGACAGTGATGTAATATCCATATCGTATGTATGTATTTGGCGCGGCGGCCCGTGAGCGGGCTCAGGCCACCGCCGAGCCCGCTCACCACCACATATACTGGGACACTGCAAGGAAAACCCACTACATACTTGTCTTGACCGGGATTCGAACCCGGGGCCGGGTAGTGGAAAGCGAAAACGCCTACCACGATCTAGCGACTCACCGAATATTCACATTCCGAAGCTAAATCAGAAGGCCATATCATTTGCTCGAAGGATCAGGGAAACTGGTCGCAAAATTCAAACAGTTCTTTCATTTCCACCAACAATCTGAAGCACCTACTATTTAAACTAAAAGATTTTGTTATTGCTTTATTGAAGATACATATGTAATTTAGTAACTTTCTCGTCCTTAGGCTGTAAGAAGAGAAAGTATTGTAATCGTGCACCGGGAAACGATGAATTTTCGGCAGAAAAACTCTTCTTCCCGGACCCTGGTAAGGACAAAGTGGATAAATCTTATTCCTGTATACAATAAATTACTTTTTCTTACACTTTGTGTAGTCAGATTCTATGTTTTATGGGTCCTTAAAACCAAAAAAAAATTGACGGCAAAACGTCTGATCGTCCGTTCTGTTCGTCCATGGTCAACGCTAACACCTAAACCGTTCATC